ACAATTTACAAAGCCATAAAAGCTTCAAGGTCTCTGCTAGCCTCTCTCATGTGTTCCATTCCCGACCCTGCAATTGGCAGGGATGACTCAGGTGTTTGATTCCAAGGGTGTAGCTCATTTGAATGGGCAGGGAGGAGTCTTTGGATGGACGTACTTCTATAAGACGATGTAAGATGCCTCGTCCAAGCTCTCCACCGTGTCCAAACTGGAATCTCCTGGCATGCCTCTTGCTGGCTGTTTAGTAGATTAACTACTTCGGAGCTGCAGAGGCTGAGTATTGTGCATCCTGTATCTCGGGGGGGGAAGGTGTTTGCTCTTGATCTCAAGCATGTCATGTGTGCCAAGCTGCAGCGATGGGTTCCCTAGAGCTACAGGTCTGAACACGTGCTCGGTTCTGTCAACAAACATGGTTCACTGATTCAGTTAGGTTTTGAGCAGAGTTGGACTGAATTCCTGTAGGTTGCACTTACGTGCCCTTAATGATGTTGAGTCAAGGGGACTGTGGGTGTATGAGGCCATTGCATGGAAGCTTAAGCTTTTGTACCTTCACAATGATAAATTGCCTTGTTAAGAGGTATAACAGGTATAACCAGTGCAAGGAAATGTACTGTAGAACTGGGACATATTCCCTGTACGTTTATTTTCGCAGACTTAAAAATAGCTGTGAAAATAGATTTACAGCCAGTGGTTTCTGCTGAGAACTCCTGTGCTGCTACTGCCTAGGAACAGGCGGCTGCTCCAGAGCTGTCTAGCACTCACAAAGTGTGTTCACACTGCTCTGCCTAGCCAAAGGCAGCTCCCCTCCCCCCGGCGAAAGAAATGAATCTACAACTAGCGCTGTCCTGTGAAAATTAACAGGCAAAAATCTGCTGCTCTGGTGCTGATCGGACTGTGTGGAGGGGAATTCTAGTGAAGCTCCATGAGATCCACATGTAAACTCATCCTCAGTCCGTTGAAATATGGACAGCAAAAGGCTACTTGGACTGGAAGCTCTTTGGGGGTTGGACCGTGTTTTTGTTCTGTGTCGGTCCGGCACCTAACACAGTGGGGCCCTGGTCCATGACGGGCTCCTGAGTGCTATCGCAAAGCAGATATAGTGATAAACTCACGATTCTAAAACAAGGTGCATCTGAAGTGACTTTAGTCTCTAAGGTGCCACAAGTACTCCTTTTCTTTCTAGGGGGAGAGGAGTTTTTGAGGCGCTTAATGCCCTTTGGATGAATATGGTCTCTTGACCTGAATTGTAGCAGCTGTAGGCTGATACAGCGGCAGCTTTCCTTTGCATTATTCATGGATTAAGTACTGCTGTCTAAGGTGCTCATGTTTTCCCCCTCTGTTGAATGCAGTGCAGTTGTGGTGTTCCACGTTTACTGAGCCTGGCCAGACCTCTAAAATGTGGGTCACAGAGATGCAGGAGATGTCAATTTGGCGAGTCTAGGCCTGGAGGGGTGGAAATGGGCACTGATGCTTGTTAGAGCCCAAAATGAGGAGCTGTGTATGGCTGATTGAGCTGACAGGAGCAGTGTGCTATGAGGGTTGTTTAAATCAGGGCTTCTCACAACAATTTTTTCTGGTGGCCTCTGACAATTTTTCCTAAAATACTTAATTAACTTTAGGAAAAACCAATAACTATCCACATAGACATGTTGAAATCATTGTAATTTATTGATGTAGGATTTTTTCCCCCAGACTCAATAATAAATAGTCATGTACAGTTGTCTCTATTCTTTACTGGACCTAAACAGAATAGAAACACAAATAAGGTGCTTCGTACGGTCTTGTCTTTTTTTGCTTTTTTTGGTTCCTTTTTTTTTCTTCAAGATGTGCTAGTTACTAAGTCTGCTGTGAAAAGTGACATTAACAAATGTACAAATATCACTTTTCACAGCAGACTTACTCAGCCCCGGCAAGCCTGGGATGGGGAGGTGAATATGGAAGCAGTGGGGGCCGGGGGCACTGGAGGAGGGGGGGTGAGCTTGGGGCCAGAGCCCGCCACCATATGGTGAGGGCATGGAGCCTGAAACCTCGTGGCTGGAGCCTGACACCACCAGCCCTGGGAAGGTGGGGAACCCACTGCCTGCCTGCTCCTCCAGCTTTTGTGTCTTCAGAGGTGGGCAGGGCCCAACCACTGGTGGTGGCTCTGGGGGAGGGGGCTGCTGCTTTAGCCCCCCCCTCACCCCCCATCATAGCCCAGGAGGCTGTGGCTCAAGAAAAGTCCTTGGTGGCTGCATGCAGCTAGGGTGGATGCATTTGAGAAACACTAGTTTAAAGTGTCTGTCCTGAAGGTGGGGGAGAAACCAGCCCATTCCTACCCTCCTTCATGGGATTTAACAATGAAACCTGGGTCACAGGGCTTGAGCAATGGACCAGATGCTAGTATAAAAGATGAGGCCTTTCTCAGAGGGAGTTCAGAGACAATATCTTGGTAAGAACCAGCATGCTGCATTGGGCTTAAGGGTTGGGGAACAATTTCCAATGGGGCCTGCTGTGTGGGTTCTTCCACTACATTTTTCACATCAGCCGAGCAAGAGGGTTCTGTTAAGTGTGGAGCCCAAGCCTCCCCCCATCCTGTGAAGCAAATGTCCCTCTGTTACTCATAGCTTTTCCCAGCAACAGAATAAAAATTACAAGATGCGTCACTTTTGCTGCTTCTGCTATTAGCTGAACAACTGTGAAACTCACTAGAATCTAGCCACTAAAGCCTGGTCTACACCAAAAATTTATCTCCACCTAGTCGTGTGTCTTGGGTTTGAAAAATTCACAACCCTGGGGGAGACAGTTAAGCTGACCTCAGCCCTTTGTAGACACCACTGGGTTGATGGAAGAATTCTTCTCTTGACTTAGCTATTCCCTCTCGAGGGGTGGATTTACTACAGTGATGGAAAAATCCCTTCCATGGCTTTAGTAAGTGTCTGCACTACAAATGCTACAGCGGCACAGCTGGTAATGTTGACAAACCCAGAGCTGCTCAGAACTGTACTCATCCTCGCTGTTGTAGTGAAGGGGGAGAGAGACGGATTGTGCTCTTGAGTAGCTCTGTGGTACAAGGTGCACAGATATGACAGTAACTAGCGCCATGTAAGAGGGAGGTAGATGCTGCTGCTCAGAATCAGACTTTAGTGAAATTGAAGAGTCTGGTAAATTTCTCTGTGCTACTGCCAGATAGTTTCCATTAAGAAGTGCATTTTTCATGCCCTGCTGAGTCAATTTCCAGCGTAACCTTAGATAGCTAACTTCCCTCCACCAATAGAGCCTGATCCAGATGCCCTGGCAAGGGGAGCTTTGCCCTCTGAATGTCTTTAGACTAAAAACTACTACAGAAAATTCTTTCCTGGGTATTTGGCTGGTGAATCTTGCCCATATGCTCAGGGTTTAGCTGATCGTCATATTTGGGGTCGGGAAGGAATTTTCCTCCAGGGCAGATTGGAAGAGGCCCTGGAGGTTTTTCGCCTTCCTCTGTAGCATGGGCACGGGTCACTTGCTGGAGGGTTCTCTGCTCCTTGAAGTCTTTAAACCACGATTTGAGGACTTCAATATCTCAGACATAGGTGAGAGGTGAAAGGTACCTGTCCTTTTAAAAACACTTATTTTAAGTGGATTAATATTAAAATTGGATGACTGTGAATTTTAAAACCAAGCCTTGTGGAAAGAGGTCCTAGATAAGTGTGTGAAGCTACTAACACTTCAGAGCTAGGTTCAAAATATGACTAGAGTTTCCTCAATTTCTGGTCTCCATGTGTTCAGATCACAAACCACCACAAAACTATCCTGTGAGGTGGAAGAGTGGGCAGGTTGCTGCCTGGTGCTGGTCTGTCTGTATCTGTGCCTGTCTGTCGTCAGGGATTACTGGTGTCCCTTTCATGAATGCTGAATTCACTTGTAGTTCTCGGCAAGGCATAAAAACTCAAGAAAGGTCACAGTGATGGGGTCTCTCCAGTATATCAAGTGGAGTGCCCCAAGGGTCGGTCCTGGGGCCGGTTTTGTTCAGTATCTTCATAAATGATCTGGAGGATGGTGTGGATTGCACTCTCAGCAAATTTGCGGATGATACTAAACTGGGAGGAGTGGTAGATACGCTGGAGGGTAGGGATAGGATACAGAGTGACCTAGACAAATTGGAGGATTGGGCCAAAAGAAATCTGATGAGGTTCAATAAGGATAAGTGCAGGGTCCTGCACTTAGGACGGAAGAACCCAATGCACCGCTACAGACTAGGGACCGAATGGCTAGGCAGCAGTTCTGCGGAAAAGGACCTAGGGGTGACAGGGGACGAGAAGCTGGATATGAGTCAGCAGTGTGCCCTTGTTGCCAAGAAGGCCAATGGCATTTTGGGATGTATAAGTAGGGGCATAGCGAGCAGATCGAGGGACGTGATCGTTCCCCTCTATTCGACATTGGTGAGGCCTCATCTGGAGTACTGTGTCCAGTTTTGGGCCCCACACTACAAGAAGGATGTGGATAAATTGGAGAGTCCAGCGAAGGGCAACAAAAATGATTAGGGGTCTGGAACACATGAGTTATGAGGAGAGGCTGAGGGAGCTGGGATTGTTTAGCCTGCAGAAGAGAAGAATGAGGGGGATTTGATAGCTGCTTTCAACTACCTGAAAGGGGGTTCCAAAGAGGATGGCTCTAGACTGTTCTCAATGGTAGCAGATGACAGAACGAGGAATAATGGTCTCAAGTTGCAGTGGGGGAGGTTTAGATTGGATATTAGGAAAAACTTTTTCACTAAGAGGGTGGTGAAACACTGGAATGCGTTACCTAGGGAGGTGGTAGAATCTCCTTCCTTAGAGGTTTTTAAGGTCAGGCTTGACAAAGCCCTGGCTGGGATGATTTAACTGGGAATTGGTCCTGCTTCGAGCAGGGGGTTGGACTAGATGACCTTCTGGGGTCCCTTCCAACCCTGATATCCTATGATTCTATGATTCTATTTTGTGGCAATCCCAGGGATGTCCTCTTTGTCTTTGTCCTTATCTTATTCATGTGTTTGCATTTTGCAGGTTTCATTGATCATGGACTGTGAAGAACTCCCAGATTTTTCGAGTCCAAAAGAAGAAACTGCTTATTGGAAAGAGCTTTCCTTGAAGTATAAACAAAGGTATCATTTTGGATTCATAGACCTGTGCTTACTGTTAGCTCTACCAGAATGTGGCTAATCAACCTGCCTCTCAGTGGGAGTTTTGCTTTGATAAGTGTCAGGTGTGTCCAAATGAATTTCTTCATTTTCATCTTTAAAAATGCCAGGTCAGTCAGTAAGAGCCCACTGCTGGAAGCAGAGCATCTTCTGCATGGGCATTACCAACTTGAGAGCTCCAGGTTGTGGATTGCAGCCTCCTAGGGCAGATTGTATGAGTTCCTTTTGGCTACCATTGGCATTAGCAGGGCTGGCTTTGCAGATTGGTATCTAAATACCTGGAGCAATACTCTGCTTGGTTCTGTGTTTCGGGAACCTCTGCCTGCTTTCCTCTGGAGTGTTGTCCTTCTGTTCTGTGTTACTGTTGTGGATTGCACATGTGCAGCAAACAAAACTTCCTGCAGTCCCAATATGCACATCAGAGCCCAGGATGCTAATGAATTCATGTTGCTTCCCGACCACTGAACGTGTCAGATTGGTGAAAGAAACACAGAACTGGCATATTTCAGAGGGAGCATCTGAAGGGACCTGGCATCTCCTGAGTTGTTCTTGAATGTCAGAAAAAATTCAGGGCCTTTAGGGGTTAAGGAAAGATTTGGTTTCTGTACCCTTATAATTCACTTTCCTATAAACTTTGCTGCTTGATGAGAGCTGAGCTGGTAAGCACAGGGCAGATACAGACATGTCAGTGACGTGTGTACAGTGGGCAGTGGCTCCTTTTAGCAATTTAATACCTTGCAGTGGTGTAAGGTAAGTATTATGCTGGCTCCCTGACTAAGTGGTTAATAACCTTAGGTTCTAGAAAAGGGTTGGGGTTTAATGTTACTTTGGTGTGGCCATATGGTATAACAATATTGTTCTCTGTTGTTAGACTGCATTCAGTCATATGTTTTTCAATCAAAACCAGGTTAAAAATTCACTGGCTAATACCAGACCTGTCCATGAAATGATTTAACAAATGCTAGCTGTGAAAGTTAATGAATAGAGAATTTTTGTCAAACTCCTAGACATCCTGTTGTTGACCTTTGTGCATGGAATTGTATTTAAACATGTTTTTAATACAGCAGTTTGTGTGTTGCACAAAAATGAATTTCCTTTCATAGCTGAACTTCATGTAACTCTTACCTTACTGCAGTTCCCTTCTTCTCTTGAAAGAGATGCTGTTTATATGAGTCCCTTCATATGCTGGAGATTCTTCCTGGGTTTATCTTTAGACAAGATCCGTGGGTTTTGTTACAACTTGATAAACTAAACCCTTGACTGATATGAATCCTCTGCTTACAGTTTCCAGGAAGCACGTGAAGAGCTGGCTGAATTCCAGGAGGGGAGCAGAGAATTGGAAGCTGAATTGGAGGCCCAGCTAGTGCAGGCTGAACAGAGGAATAGAGACTTGCAAGCAGATAACCAAAGACTGAAATATGAAGTGGAAACATTAAAGGTACCGCAGTGTCTGTAGTGGAATGGCCTGTTCTTGCAGGTAGTCAAAAGTGTGGTCCTAAATTATCATTCAAAATCTGTCTCGTCTGTACAGGTTTTTTGGTAATTCAGTAATTGTATCCAGAATATAAAGGGAGGGGAGCAGACATATGTTTGAGATCCGGTTTTGAGTATGGCATGTGCCCAATGGGTAAGACCAGGTATTTACCAGCCACCTTATATGTCAGGTAAATTTGTGGAGGAATTTGCTATGTTCCTTGGCCATGTAATAAGAGGGACATGTCTCGGATCCTTTGCTTTTGAGCTTGATCTTGAGTTTTGCTTGAGTAAGGGCAGCAGATTTGGGTTTTCGGAGACTTTGGTGGATTTGTTGTTACTACAGCAAGTTAACGTAGCCATGTGATGGACATACTACTAATCTGCTTTGTTAGGCCATTGAATCATTTTGTTCATCATTTCAGCAGTAGGATTGTGCAGCTAATTCCTGTGAATCAATGGTTTTTGCCCAGAATGTCTCTGGTTTTGTGAGATTTTTAAGGCAGTTAATGACCTCTGACTCGTGCATGTCCTTTAGTAGAGATTCTGATAGTGTTCTGTAGAGTGTTCAGATAGACAATAGAATATTCTAATTAATGCATCTGGGCCGATCTGTTCTCACCCTGCCCTGGGATCTTGGAGAGCACCATGGTTTGGTCCTGCTCTTGGAAACTTGACCCGGGGCAGGAGGTGGGAACATAGCTGGAAATCATTGTGTTCTGAGCCAGGGCAAATGTGCTCTGTGGGATCCCTGGTTATCTTATCCCTTCCCTGTTGTAGTTATGAAATCTGCATGTACTTGAGGAGGCCAGTAGCTTCTTCAGGAAAGTCTCTAGCTGCCTCCTCGGAGTTGTGGACATTCTTAACCAACCAGACTGTCAGCACCCACTTTCCAGTTTTTCCAGGTGAAGGTCTTGGAGTGAACTTCCCTGTGCAGTCAAGAAGCAGATTCCAGTGCCTCTTATTTTTGCTCACCGTTGGGATTTCAGGCCGGTTCTTGTCGTAGCATAATTGTCTGGAGTCTGGGAGACACAGAGTCAGAATCCTCTCTAGCAGTTGTATTGCTTTCTGGCCACCTGTAGGTGTGCCGGGCCACATTTATGGTTTTGAGGGTGACATTTAAAAGCCTCCTGGACCTGCCATTACAGACTATTGAGAACGGAAGTTGATGGGTGTGTTTGGGAGAATAACTAGCTATTTGGTGACTGGATCCTTGCTGTGCACAGTGTTGGCTTTCTTTATTTCAGGGTGCCCAGTGCTGATGCTTTGTAAATATCCATGTTAATACTGGCATTTCTATGTGCTACCACCAACAAACCCACATGAGCTGACTAATTCTGTTGTGTTACTTTTTTCCCTCTTATTTGGCTCTGGCTTGCCTCAGAAGGTTGTATATTAGCAACATTAATCTTGCTTCCCCTCTTATTTCCAGGAGAAACTTGAACACCAATATGCACAAAGTTACAAGCAAGTGTCGGTGTTGGAAGATGACCTAAGTCAGACACGGGCCATTAAAGATCAGCTACACAAATACGTGAGGGAGCTGGAACAGGCCAACGACGACTTGGAGCGCGCTAAGAGGTGAACGCTACAAACCGATTGCCTTGCTAGATCTTCCGCTAGTCATTTAGCTTCACAGCTCTTGACTATCTCTAATGGATGCAACTTTGCATAAGGAGAGAGACTGTTTTTTGTTGCACTCATGCAGTTAAAACCGTATTGAGGCTCCAGCCCAGTCAGATGTCCAAGTTCGCCTAACTCGTTAGCCCTACAGTACAGCAAGAAGTCCTAGAATCAGAGAGTTTAAGGTCAGAAGGATCACCAGATCATCTAGTCGGACCTCCTGCATATCACAAGCTACTAAACCCCACCTCGTTACCCCAGTATTGGGCCCAGTAACCTGGATTGCTGGAGGTTTCTGAAGTATTCTACTTTGTGTAAATCAGTGAGAAACAAGAGCAGTAATTTGCACTCTGTTTTATGGATTCCTGAAAGATGAGAGCAGAGCATAAAAGCAAGCCCAGCCAGCATGCCAGATCTGACATCAGCAGCCAGGTGACTCTTACAGCATGCCAGTGATCCTTCCAGGACAAAGCCTCCTTCAGATAAGAAGCTAATACCTTATGCAGTCCCTTGTAAATAAAACAAGCCTAGTGAGTCTCTTCTTCCCTTACCTAATAAGCACTGTGGCTGGCCACAGGGAATGACTGTATACTGGATAAGAAGTGCATAAAACTAGCAAGAGTGCTGCTAGCAATGCCCTGTTTGGAAAGTAACAAACAGATCCTGCCTCTGTTTAACTGAATGGGAAGGTTGCCATTGAGTTCAACAGGAGCAGGACTGGGTCTCTGGCTATGTGGCATGGCAGACCCAGGGCTGAGGCCCTGATTTAGCAAGATACTTGAGCACGTGACTAACTTTTTAAACATGTGAGTTGTCCCATTGAAGTCAGTGGAACGGCTTGCATGTTGTGTTAGTCATATGCTTAAGTACTTTACTGACTTGGGGCTTGAGTTAATATCCCAGTCCCACACTTTCTTGGCTCGCTGAATTGTCAGCTGCTCGGCGCATGGAGGTGGTAGCACCTTGCAAGCCCTCTGAGTTGATGTAGAGTGCTGCATTGACTGGCGCTGGTTGCTGAGCAGAAGGGAGAGAGAGTGGATATCAGTGCTTGGTGAGCTCTTACACAGCTGTGTTTTACAGTGTTTGAAGTCCAGCTGCTAGAGTTCTGTCCTGTCCAGTCCACATACCTCACTTCTGTGGCGCTTAATGGTCTTTTCCAGGAAGCATGGCAGAGCTGTAAAGCTTTGGACATTGCTTACCTTTTCCTTTTGTTGTTATGCTTTCCAATGTGCTTTATGTCAGCAGATCTGAAGAGCCTAATATTTTGAATTTTGTTTCTAGGGCAACAATAGTTTCACTGGAAGACTTTGAACAAAGGCTGAACCAGGCTATTGAGAGAAATGCATTTTTAGAAAGTGAGCTGGATGACAAGGAATCGTTACTAGTTTCTGTACAGAGGTTAAAGGATGAAGCGAGAGGTACAGCTTGATTGATTAATTCTTTGGTTTAGTACAGGCTTCTTAATAGAGATGTATTCTAACAACTACAGCTCATGTTTGTACAGCACCTAGCACAATGGGGCCAAAGCTGTTTGTGCAATGTAAATCTTCAATAATAATAATAATAATTTCTACACAGTTAAGGGGAGTAAAGAAATCTCATCTGGTGAGTGGGGAAAAATACCATCAAATCCATTCAGGATTTTTTAAATATGTGAGTACTGCAGGAGAATTCAAATTCCAAATGAAAACTGAGTTAAGCACAGATCTGTGTGACAAATGCTTCCATTAACCAGGCTCTGTGCAGGTTGTCGGGGAGATTTGAGGATGGGATTAGACATGGAAATAAATGTTAACTAACCTTGTGAAATTCTCCGTTGTCCTCTGTAATCCTCTTGGGAGTTGCCTGGCTTATGGAAGATATCCCAGAAAGGATTGCAATGAGACTTGTGGTATTACTGATGTTACATTCTGGGACATCTTCTGTAAACCAGGAATTCCCAAAAGGATTTCACCGAGACGAAGTGAGGAATACCCAAAGTCTGGCTGAAATTAAGGCTGGCTGATAAATGGCACCCCATCACCTGGTTAGTAGGGTCACTCAGTTCACAAATCTGTGCTCGACATCACTCAAGTCTTATTGATACAAACATGGAGTTGTCTCTGACAGCAAAGAAGATAAAAAGGAAGACCAAATGTTGTTGTCTAATGAAACATACAAATCATAACTTATAGTAAGGGCAGTAATAATGAAACTCATGGCGAATCTTCAGGAGCAGCTGAATGATCAACATTAATTACCCAGTTGCAAAACGGGATGAACAAAGTGTTCAACATCTTTAAAATAGAAGAAGAAAAACAAGCAAACAAACAAAACCATATTATTTTCTGGCCAGCAGTCAGATACGTTAGCTGTTTAAAAAATTGCTGCTCTCACACCCAAATACAAAACTTCTGACTTTTCAAACCTGTGTATCTGGGCAGGTTTTCATTTTTGCTTGGCAGTTTGCCTTTGAAAACACCTCTAAAAGTGCATGGTATTTTAAAAACTCTAATGTACAACACCTTTTGCTTTGGCTTTTTCTGACAGTCCGCTTGAGAATCCAGTGGCCTGTGAAAAATCTAATTATTTTGCCTAAAATAAAAATGGAAAACGAAGTTCATACTTTATTTTAAAATAACACCCTCCCATTTATTATTATTAATTTGCATTATCATAGTGCGAAAGCCTCTTGCTGACTTTGGTGCCCCATTGTGCTAGGCACTATACATATGTATAACAAGAGACTAAAATCTAAATAGATAAGACAGAAAAAGGGTGGTAGAGGAAAAAGATGCACAGAAAGGGGAGGTGTCACACAACAGGTCACTGGAAGAGTTGGGAATAGACCCAGGTTTTCTGACTCCCTGTCCACTGGATTACACTGCCTGTCCAATCCACTATCAATTTATGCCCAGACAGTCTCAATTTCTTAGCAGGCCTTTTGCTTGGTGTCTGGGGGTTTAGTGGGCAAACGAAGGGGTTTTGCCCTCTTGGCAAGATCATTCAGGGAGTTAGATGCCCAACTACTTTCTCCACTCACCTCCCTTTAAATTAACACCTTGATAATAGGAGTGTGGGGCATAGGAGCGCATACAGGGACATTCAGCCCTGGTTGTTGAAAGAACAGTAAGGCTGTGAGAAAAGTCATGGAAAGAGTGAGACAAACATGCTGTTTGTCATGCAATATCTAGGCCGCAGTGGAGGCCACTTACGTAGCACTGCATTTTCTGCCTGGGAATTTCTGGCGGTCCAGTGCAGAATGGCCTTTGTGAGTTTCCTGACTTGCATTTATCTGCACTGTCACTGTTAGGTCAGTGGAGCTGTTGCAGAAGCACCTTTGTGTTGGAAGCGCTGACTCTCTGCAGCTCTGACACAGAGCTGTCCGTGCCTTTGTGACCTCCCAAGAGGTTATTGTAATGCACTCTACATGGGACCTCCCGATGACTACACGCGAGCTGCAGCTGGGGCAGAACACGGGAGCCTGTTTGCTCAGCTGTGCTGGCTCTGAGGCACATATTCCATTGATGCGGTGAAGGCTACCTGTTCCCTGCCAGTTGCAATGGGAGGGTTGATTTTGAGCTATAACACTCTATGCAGTTTGGGTCTTAGCTGCGAGAGGGGCCACCTCTCCCCTGCAATGTCACTGCAGTTGATCAGCTGGTTTGCTCTTGCTTAGGGTGTCCTTAGGGTTTCTAGAGTTAAATGGCTGGAGGGCATTTTCAGCAGCGGCCCTGTCGCTGAGGAATCTGCTTCCCCTCTCCGCCTTGTCTGAAGGGCCAGGATCTGTTGACCTTCAGGGCATAGCTGTTTGCTCAGGCTCTTAGAGGAGAAGCTGATGGTGAAGTACATTATTTGTTTGGTGAGGGTTGAGTCTGCATTTAGCTTGGCCTTGGGGAGCTCATGTTGGGTTGGGTTAAGAATGCCATGTACGTGCCCCCAGGGATGATCGCGGTGCTGCATTTTTAACTATCAAGCCATAAATATGAAATGTGCGTTTTTTCTTTTTCCAACTTCCAGACTTACGGCAAGAGTTAGCTGTCCGAGAAAGGCAACAGGAGGTCACCAGGAAGTCTGCTCCTAGTTCTCCGACTCTAGACTGTGAAAAGATGGATTCTGCTGTCCAGGCATCTCTCTCTTTGCCAGCCACGCCTGTTGGAAAAGGATCAGAGAATAGCTTTCCTTCCCCAAAAGGTATGCAGTGCAACAGGGGTGGTTCTGTGGGAACATGAAACTCTGCTGACAAACAGCACTCCCACCAGCTCAGCTCCACTCTGGCACTCTTGGGTAAACCTAGGAATGTATAGGCACCAAGTACTCTGCAGCAAGCTGTGCCTAAAAGCTGCATCTCCTGCAGCCTGCTAGAAATTCTGGGGCAGCTTCAGGTAAATTCAGGAGTAGAGTTTTCTGTTGAATTAATATGGAAGTGAGTCAGCTCAGCCTTTGGATTTAATTTGATATTGCGTTCAATTTACTTTACCCTGCCTTTGAGTATTCAGTATGCTGCAGATTTTTGCACTGACAATGCAAAAGGGGGCGGTCGAGGTTGGGTATCCTGGGGAGACAGTCTGAGATTGTAGGATAAGCAATCACTGGATCTTTCTGCTGAAATGACCACCAGAGTAATAGGTCACAATGCTGATAATTTAAAGTAGGTCTCAGAGTGACTGTGCTGATGAGATGCTGCGGTCAGTGCACGGCTCTGAGCTCCTGTTTCCGTTGCAGATTCTGGGAGGCAGCACGGCCCTGGTTTACACTCATTTTGTGTGTGGAAGGCTGTTCACAATGATAAGGGCTAATAATATAACTTAAAAACATAAAAAAGAAGTTTATTGCAGCTCTGTGGCAAGGGATGCATTGTGCAGCCAGTGGCACAGCTGGGGAACGCACAAACCCTTGTTATAGGCAGAGTGTGGCGAAAGCAGACTGCTGGTATAAATTAAGGTGGTTATCCCACAGTGTGTGTATTATTGGGGGCTAGCAGCATGGGGAGCCGTGCTGGGGTGGAATTTTAGATTTCCCCTTTCATGCAGGGGTTAGTTTATTGAATTGGCCATTTTAAACTTCTGAGAAGCAGACCATATAATGAAGTGCATTTATGTTTGCAGCTATACCAAATGGGTTTGGTACCAGCCCCCTAACTCCTTCTGCTAGAATATCGGCACTGAACATTGTGGGAGATCTCTTACGGAAAGTCGGGGTAAGTGCTTTGTCCTGTAGGTCCCACGTTTTTGCTGTGATAGAACCAAGCGTTAGGACTGTTTGCTGCCAGTTGCAGTCATGTCAGACGTGCCGAAAAGGGATTGTGGGGCCACACCTCTGCACAGCCCCACTTTAGCCTCCGAGGGATCTTTCCCATCATGCTCCGGGAGGGCTGCGCGTATGACAAGGTGACTTCAGTTAGAGAGTCCCAGGTGTAAACAAGGGACTGGGATTCCAAGTACTACATTGGGGTGCTGGGGTTGGCGTTTGGGCAAGAACGTATAGCGTGGGCCTCCAACTGTGGGACTGGGCATCCTATACGGATTGCTTACATTTGAATATTGTGCCTACAGGATCACACCATCTCTCTCTCAAGGGGCTGCGGGTCTCATGCCTAGGCACAGTGCAGATTGACCTTCCTGAGCGTGGTGGGCGTAGTGTGCATTCCAGCTGTCTGAGCCTCTGCCCCTCTCTCCCCCACCCCCGCAGCTATTTTAAAAATCAAAATAATCAGGGAGCCCTTCGATAAGAAAGTGACAAAGCACAGAGCAGTTTCCGATCAGACTCATTTCTCAGAGTTGTATGCGGCCTATGTGAGGCTGGTGAACAGGCAATAGAATAAGCCAAGAGAGAGCCAAATATTCCCCATGGTGCAGTTGGGAGGGAAGTGAAATGTTTGAGCTGTTAAATGGATTACAGCTATAAGTGGAGGAGAAATGCTTTAAACATCTGCTGCTTGGAGCGCCAGGCTCACCAATATAATGAGGACATGGCTGTACTTGCTTTGAGTCATGAAAAACTTGTTCGTATGTTTGTGCCTCAATGCACAGTGTCAAGGTTTCATGCTACAGTGAGGACACGGTTGTGTCTAAGGTTAGAATCTTGCCCTTGGGCCTGATTTTCATTAATCTCTTGTGCCTAGAAGCTAATCTGCTGTGAATAACGTTAGCCACAACCAGGGAAATCATTTTAGCAAAGGTAAAATTAAAAATCCAGTTGTTGCCTGTGAGCTTCTGGCTAGTTAGGGCAGGCAGGAGTAAGAATCAGTGTGGGTTGTAGAGGAGTTTATTTGCAATCAAGGAGCTTCCTGATTTCTCTGAGAGGGCAGAAGTCCAAGAGTAAGCAGGCATCTTTCCCAGCCCACTCTTAGAAACCCAGCCCACCCACTGTGTAAAGTCCCAACTCACCCCTGTCTTTGTGAACAGTAAGATAAAGATTGGCTCAGAACATCTTCTTGGCCTTGGCTGCTTCTAGGGGTTCCTCCTTCGGGACTGCTCAGCCCACACTCTAGATCTCCTCTGTCCCACTGAGAGCCCCTCTCACCTCCCTTACATCTGGGTGGATAATGAGTCACTTGCCTCAGTGAACCAGCAGAGTCCATGTAACCCTTAAACCTCCAGCACGAGAAGTAGGGTCTTGTCCTGTGCTGAATGCACCCCATAGTGAGGTTAGCTGGGGCTTTCAGCACCTGAGCTCTTCTTGGTGTTACCGCTCTCCTCTCTGTTTATTGGTTCTGGTTAAAAACCCAGCTTCCCCCAGTATGGCACTCTCCAGTAAGGCTGGCCTGCTGTGCAGTGCTGGCTGTTGTCTTTGCTTCTAGGCTGTCACAAGGTCGCTACATCTGTTCATCTGCTCCTGTGCTCTTGCCATCCCTGCCTTTGAGCTACATAAGCAGGACTTGAAAATCTGACCAGACCCGTTAGCCAGAGGCTGATAGGGAAGAGCAGTGACTCGGGCAGTGTGCTGGTGAGAAGCCCAGCTTACCTTCCCATGGAGGCACACAGCTCCTGGGGAGGGGTTGGTGCTGGGATTTCTATCGGGAAGCTGCTCCGGACTCCTGCTTAGGAGAGCCCTCTGTCCCATCAGCTGCTGCTTGAACCACACCCAGGCCCACTCAAGCGGCAGGATAGGGTGCATTTTCTGCTGTGGGTGGGTGGATATCTCCACTCCTTCTGACAACCCTCATCCTCTCCATTCTGAATTGTCCTCTACAGTGAATAGCTCCAGTATGTGCCTCCACTCTTGCTCTGTTTTCCCCAGCAGCAGCAGCAGAGTGAAATTGATGTGGTTCTCGTCAGTTTCACAACTGCCCACAAGGTTCTGAAGAGCAGTGGTGAAAGCCAGGGGAGCCTGGTCAGCTGCTTGGGGAAGCTGGGAACAGCATCAGGGCAGGGTGCTGCCTGCAGGCTCAGGGAGGTGCTGCTGCAGCAGTTTACATTCGGAGACAGATTTTCAAGAGCTGAGCATCTAGCAGCTCCTGTTGAGATTGGGCCCGCTTTATTTAGGTGCCTAAATGGGAGCTGATCTCCTCTGAAAAATCATCCCCCTCAAATGTGGATGCTGAGCACATTTGAGAGCTTGGCCCAGTGCTCTCATTCTGAAGGTTTTCTTTGCAACCATAGCTGATAAAAGCATTAGCTTTGTTGGAGTGAAGCTTAGCTTGTGCTGAAGTTCATCACATTGCCGCCGCTGCCCCGCCCCCCTCCCCTGCTCACTAGTGGCCAGTGGCCATTTCAAGTCATGTAGTGGAGAAGAGCTCTTTGTTCTAACAGCTGTACCCTCTATTCCTTCCACAGGCCTTAGAATCCAAATTAGCTGCTTGCAGAAATTTTGCAAAGGACCAGGCTTCACGGAAATCCTACATTTCAGGCAACGTTAGCAGCAGCATGATGAGCAGCAACGGCACAAAGTTCTCTCATTCAGGGCATACGTCTTTCTTTGACAAAGGGTGAGTTGGAATTGACTGGTTTTTGGCTTAGAGGAGATGGCTTTCAGGGTCACTTTTTAAACAGAGAGATCTTTTCTCCACTCACTTTTAGCCCAGTAGAGAATTTGTCTTATAGATAAAACGTAATGCGGGTTAGAACCCTGCGGGAACAGTGGCAGCCAAGATTACAGTGCTGACCTCTACTAAGCAAGGAGAAAAAACAGATCTACTGCTTAAAACCCTTCTCTTGGCTGGTGGATGTTACTGCTGTTGCTTGTTTCTCCCACTGCCTAGTTTCCTGGCCTGCTGCGTCCCATGGTAATTCCAAGCCCAGGCAGCAAAACAACCCTAGTGAGTTGTAATGTGAGCTTAAAAAGAATGTCAAGTAACTAGTGCTGAAATTTCCATAGTTACCACTTTGCTCCTGGGGGTGTGGGGGGGGAATGTGTTCTCTACAAGCCTGGAGATTTTCCTCAGTCAGAGTGGCCTAGTGCAGGCTGCAGATTCCCACCTGGGGTGGGGCACAGCTTGCTTTGATTTCCTCTTCCTCGGGGAAAACGAAAATGGCATTAGCCCCTTCGAGCTAGCTGAGTCTGGGCTCCAGCCCTCAAATTGTTGCTGTCTTGGGCCCTTGGGGCCCAAATCCTTCTATTCCTTGTTCATGCAAGCTCCCTTTGACCCTCATGCAGACAGGCCTGAAGTCAGAGCTTCCACTTTGTGACGCTGAGGAGCAAACACTGGAGGAGCACCAGGGAGGTTTTCCCCCCTGGGGTGCCAGGCAGAAGTGAGAGCAACTGTGCGGCAGAGAGCATTTCTCCTGTGTTTGTAAAGAGCTGTGCACCTGTGTTGCACGCCTGCAGAGCTAGAATAATCGTCCCCGGTCACAGAATTAATACTCTCTTCGGTACTACAGGGTTCCATAACCCTGTGGCACATGCTCTTTAATGCTAATATGACAGACCAAGGGGTTTGTGTTCCTCTTTAACTTGCAGTAGTAAATTCCTCTTAGGGTGTTAAAATTCTAGCATGTCACTGGAAACGCTGACATTTTCAGTCTTTGCAACCTCTGTGCTTAGCTGCACGGTGTTGCTGTATGGCCGGCAGAGTAGGCCACATCCTGGAAACTACCTTGTGAAAATCTTTAGCAGAAACTGATGCAAAAAATAAAATAAAAAAGAATTCAAGGTTGTGCAAATCAAAGAGCCTTCCACTTGGTTTGCATGTTGCGGGCCTATTGATTAGCAGCACACCACCACAGTGGTACTCACACTTGCAATTCATAGCCTAGATTCCAGGTGCAAACTGATAAGAAAGCTGGTGGGGAAGGATTATGCTTAAGATCCCAGCATTGCTACACTGTGTTGTGATGTGACAAATAAGCTGGTTGCCGTGTGGGGAGGGGTGTCACTGTTAATTATCCAGATTATCATTGCACTGCCTAAGTGGGTTGGTTGTCTTCAGTTAGGAGCAGGTTGTCTCTGGGGAAAGTTTAAGAATCCAGCATGTAAATAATGGACACCTAAAGAGGTTAGAAGCATCACAGAGTGAATGTAATTGACAGATGAACGTGCATGCAAGATGTTGGCAGTTTCTACACAGCCCTGACCTCCTCCTCTTCCTTCCCCCCTCTGCGTCACATACCTCGCTTCCCATGAGATTTGTACCCTGGCATCCCACTCTTCACACCTGCTCCCTCCCTCCCCTGCACTCCTCCCTTGAAATGGGTGCGTGTTGGAAGCTAGGGGTAGCTTATGTGCTCCATCCACAGCTCCGCTATTGCTATGTCGATCCTATGTATTTTGTCAACGCATTTAAGCTGCAAAGTACTGTGAAATGAATGAGGTCAGCCCTGTTGTGCCTACACACTGCAGCACAATATTAGCCTCTAGTCACGTCACTGAGCCCGCCAGTGGTGTTCAGCACCCGCTAGGGCTTTGTCCATGGCTTGCTGTGGTAGCTAGGCACAAAGGGCTGAGCTGAGGCATGCCCTCTCTTCTCCCCTCTTCTCCTCCTTTCTCTCCAGCCCCTGTACTCTTCTCCCTGCCCCCAACTGTCGCTGGAGCCTGAAACAGCCTCGTGTGCCCGTAGACCCGATCCAATCTGCTGCTGCTGCCTTATGAACAGCCTATTGTTGGGTGGTGGGATTGTGACAGAGGTAACTCAGCCAATCATTATAGTACCGTTTCCTTTGCAAATTGCCGTTCTGTTGGTTACAGTGTTTGACAAGTCCTTCATCTCGCCTTGGCAAGCAGAGCTGTGCAGGCATCTACAGAACGGAGTGGGGAGGGACCCCTGGCCTGGCCAGCTCCGAGCTTTAGGAACAATGCACTCAGTGGTATCATGCAGGAGATGCACAGGAGCAGCTGGGCTCATGGTCTAAGATCAGGAGAGCTAAGAAGGCTCCTAATGCATCAAGATTTTAAAAGCTCCAGCAGAGTATTAGCCCACATGCCGGTGTAAGATTAGTTCCCTGCAGAATGTCGTTCCTTCACAAATGCAGCGTTCCTGTCCAGAACCCAGGGGTCACAGAACAGCCTGGGTAACTCCAGCTGAGTGCTTCTCTTTTCTTCCTTTTAATGCCTCTTACCCAGAAAGTATAGCTGGGGATCCTGTTAGTTCAAGAAACCTTTGTTCAAATCCACTTTAGGAAACAATTGACCACAACAGTGATCTACTTTACTGTAGAGGCCCGAGAATAGCAGGATTGAGGTGCACTGGCAGGAATGTGTGGGCAAAGCTTTGCCTAGTGCCTGTCTGGGATACACCTGGCATTAACTCATTGTTAACCCCCACTGCTAAACTCACTGCATTAGCTGACATTTTATATCCCCAGTTTAGCCCAAAACAATGGAAAAAACATCTCTTTAGCCATAAACTGTGATTTTAAATTGGAAAAAGCCCTCCCAGCCCAACCTTAGCTAGATCACTGCCACTGCCCACTGCTGTCTACAGAGATACTGAACCCTGGTGGGGATAGTGCATGGGGATGAGAATAGTGTTGGTGTTCATGAATGCTCCATAGTCCATCTTTATCAGAATGTCCCCCAGGAAAAGAGATCCAAGTCTCTGGAGTCTGCTTCGTTCCAGGGAACTCTCATGACAGGTGAGTGGTGTAAAGCACAGGTCACTTGTGTTCAGATTACTCTGCTGGTTAGCTGAGGGGAACAGGTGGAATTTGGGACATAGGTTGTCATTGAAATAGGTCCACTAAGCTGTCTCTTTTAGAGTAGGTTAGCTGTGTTTGTTCACAGATGTTTAGCTGAGTTCTGGTTGGGTTTAACTCCGTTGCGTTTCCCACGTTTCTACCCTCCAGGTGCTGTCGGAGAATTTCCCTTGTACTGTTTACATAAACTGTTTCCGTTTTCCTCCCTCAGGCGTGAAAAGGTCGTATTCCCCACATTGTTCATGGGTAATTGGATTCATTTGGAGTGATGAGATGCATGCATTGCATGCTTGGAGCTGGAGAATAACCAGTAGTCAGTTCTACTCACTGCTCTTCTTAGATTTATGATCTAATAGTCCATTAGTGAAACCTTAAGGCCACAGTTTTTGTCTGATCACAATCTCTCTCCCATCATTACATCAGACAGAGTGTCCTGGTGTCACGTGACCATTTTCAGACTCAAGAATGGGAATGGGGAATTGAATGCAGCTTGTGCTCTCAATACAGTTAGAGATGCATGCCTGTGACTGAACCGCACACACGGGTTTTGCCTTATACTGGCCTGCACTGGGAGATTGATCCCCTAAATTAAGGTGCCGTGTAAATGCAAAATATTGCTTAAAATGCAGATTAACCAGTGAGGAAATGTGTTACATGATAGGATAGGAGAGAAGTTTCCAAATCAATTGAAGAAATTAATAGCCTAAAATCCTAAATCTGTCCCTATTACCTCAGTCTGGCCAAGATCGCTAAGGCCTAGCTTTCCAAAAGGGATGAGGGATTTTGGTTACCTGACAGGAGCTTGACTTTCAGCCTCTGCCCTCGGACAGTACATCTGCACAGCAAAGCTCCTAACCTGGGTAGACAGACTTGTGCTGGCAGAGTCTGCATGAGTGTGCTAGAAATAGCCAGGTGGGTGCTAAGGCTCGGGCTGGTCACCTGAGCTCAGACCCAGGTGGGTGGGTGGCCACCCCAAGCCCCTCCACTGGGACTACAACATCGCCACAGTGATTTTTAGTGTAGTGGTGCGAGCCCCGCCAACACACGTGTGTCCAGCCAGGCTGGGATGGTCACTCCCAGCTGCAGCATTGTCAGCTTCTGAAACTCACAGGCTCCTGTGATGTCTCCCATGGGGCCCTTGGGCTGTTTGGGGAAGAACTAGAAATGCAGCGTGACTCCTGGAAGGTTTCTGTGGACAACACTTGCTCACACGAGTCCTGCGCTGAGTAGCTAGAGGTCTCACGGACCTGCACTCACTGAGTGCAAACTGCTCTGGGAGCATCTCAGAAGCTAGAAGCTAGTCTGAAAAGAAGGACCTAAAGGGCAAATGTGAGACCCGAAGGGTGCTCTTGTCAGGAAGAGAGAATGGATTGGAGGGGTTAGGCACAGTATGTAAGCACCAGTCCATTCAGTTTCACTGTTGTTATGATTGTTTGTGATCAGTGCAATGTTTTAACTTAAGATGAACAGGAAGGGGGAATGTGTTCAAGACAGTACAGATGGATATGGTCTCGGTGCTCTTAGCTTAAACACCAACTTCTGGTATCTTCACAGTGGTTGCTAGTTTTTGGAACCGTTCTTTGTGGCAGTCTTGTATTCCACCAGTTCTCTGCGAATCAGAGCAACAGCGTTACGTTTATTTCTAGAATGAGATCAAGCTAGGGCAAGCAGGGTCTGAACAATGCCATGAGAACCAGTTCCTTGCTAATCCTTGGAGAGCTGCTCTATATATGAATGCTGCTATGTTGCCATATAAATATTTTAGTTATCAAAGATCTGAAACCTTGAAGAGCTCCTGAACAAGAGCTGGATCTTTTGCCTCTGAAGCGGAAAGCGGAGTTTATATGTACAGGACCCACCTTTGGTGCAGCGTAAAGACTAGTTGCTCAGTATAGTATATTGATGCCTTATCAGATACTTGTTCTCTTTCATATGCCACGCTTGCTTCGAAGCTAGCCAGTTAATCATTTTTGCATTTGTTAACCAATGTCAAGATTGTGTATAAAGATACAAGCGTTCTTTCTCAAGTCTCACCAATGCCTTGGCATAGAGCAATCCATGGAGACTGTATCTGATTCAGTTTTTACAGATTCAGAAAGAAATCAAGCACAAAGAACAGAAGGCAAAGGACTAGACTCCCAGGCTCTGGAGCACAGCTGAAGAGTGTGTAGAAAGGCAAATAAAGACTTGGCAGGTTTCCGTATCCAGTACAGAGTTATCAATAAACACACCTGTCAATCCAGCGGGGCTCAGCGTCGTCATCTTTTGCAGAACTCCCAGAAAGATGTCCCAGTAGATGTCAGATCTTTGAAGGTGGGACTTGTGCAATTGTCCAGAGACACCTTGGCCAACAGGCAGGGAAGGTGGGACGTCAGGTTTCCACAGCAATGTTCGTGTTCAGCTGTCCTCATGCAGAATAAGCTTTTGGGCGTTAGTTCATGTTTCTAGAAAAACAATGAAGCCCCTGTGTAGCGTGAACATGCCTGTCAGCCCAGCAGGCCCAGATATAACTAATAAAACACAGTAGCAAAGGAAGGGCAGCTGGGGCACCCCCAAAACATGTGTTGATGTTGTGACGTGGGAGCTGCCGCCTGCCCAGGCGAGTGTGATAAAGGTGTCTCTCTCTCACATTCCACCCCACAATGCCTGCCACTTGCTGCGCTGTCTTGAAATACATTTGTCCTATCCCAGCCTTCCTCCATACCCTGCTCCGAGATGTGATGGCCAAGCCAGCTTGGTCCCATTGTCTCCAGGAGTAGTTTGATTTGGAGATAAACTACTATTCAGCCTTCACTCAGTGCTGCCAAGTGGGGGAATTGCTCAAAAGATTTGCAGGGTCTTAAGCTGAATAATGTTTTTAGTGTGTCTAGAAGAACGCAGGAATTGCCAGAGCAGCTCAGAGCCAAGGTCCATCCACCCTTGTGCCGTGCCTCTGACCGTGGCCAGCCAGATGCACCCTGCAATAGAAGGTGAGGGATAATCTTCCCCCCATCTTGTCTCCTCCTAATCCCACAGAGAGTGTCTGAAACCCTGATGCATGAGGTTTAATGGCTCTTCCAAAGATGTTAGCACTGTCGTACTCTCTGGACTGCGCCATGGTTTAATGGGTCCAGGTGTTCACTAGGGTAAGGGAGCTAGCCTATAGTACGAGTCAGGCCCCTCCCAAAGCACCTTTTCCCAGCTAGAGGCCATCGCCAATAGCCATGGCCATGTCGCCCTGACTCAGAGTGTGCCAAGGGGCTCCTGTGCCCCCCTCCTTTGTTCCAGTCTCTGCAGGGGCGGGACAGGTAGTGCCAAACCTCCCTGTGCAACAGGGCGTTAGCAGGGAGCTGCAGACATTCATGGACCTTGGGAGCTGAAGCCCATCCGATTTTCCTCAAGGTCGTTGCTTCCCACCCTCACTTCAGGGAGGTCACAGGAAGGACCCAGCACGGCCTGCTGCCTCTCGATGTGGCTGCCTGCAGAGCTAACGGAGTTGGGTACTCTCCTTATGTGGATAAGACTCACCCCCAGGTGTTGTAACTCCCGCCCGGAAGCCGCCTTTCCCCTTAATGTCCTGCGAAGCAAGGGACGGCTTGGCTCATTTCTGGCCCCAGTCATTCATTTGGGCTCTGCCACATCAATAGCTCATCTGCCTAGGATGATGTGCTGTCAGAGGGCTTCTGGGCCTTGCTCAGCTACAGCGGGGAGCTCGTCGCAGGTCCCTGAGGACTCTGCTGCCCCAGGAAATGGCAGGGCCGTACAGGGCACCTGTGGATAAGAACCGGCCAGTATTGAAAGGGGGCAGCAATCTGCTGGGGAAGGTCTGCTTTGGAAAGGGCCTTGAGCGCCGCTGAGAGCTGAATTCTCCCATGCTGCAGCCATTCGCATGCTGACCGTCATGCACTGGAGCAGTAATTCACTGGACGAAGCCAAATTGGAGATGTTTGCATTTCCCAAGCCTGCAGAGCTTCGTCGCTCAGCCCTTCCGCCGGGCACAGCTCGAGAGGGAATGCTCTGATGTTTCACCTCATTCGCATGCCAGCATTTTCCCCAGAGGGCTGCATCACGGCTGCTAGATGGCAGACTGATCCAGAGCATCTTCCCACGCAACGAGAGCCAGCCATTCTCAGGAATGTTGCGTGGCTGTAGTTATGGGCACGGCGTAACTGGCCCCCCGTAACGAATGTGCCTCACGAGATTCAGGTGCCTCTGAGACAAGGACAGAGGCAGCATGGTCGAGTGGTTGGAGCAGAAGACAGGGAGTGAAGAGAGCTGAGCCCTAATTTCTGCTTACTCACTATGTGACTTTGGAGAGTCACTTTCCATCTGTAATCCAGCTGGGCTTCTCATGTGGAGCGTTCCCCACTGGGGGACGCTGGAAATGCTTCCATCCTCGGCGTTTCTCCAGGAGTGGCCTCGTGCCCGGTGATGATCCTCGGCCCGTTTATTCTAGCCAAACTTCGGCTATTTTTACTTCAGTCAGGAGAGAGCAAACCCCCCATGTTTTAAGGCCCTTTGTCCCTCCCCCTCCTGCCCTAACTCAACAAGCTGCAGGAGCTGCTTTCTGTCCAGAGACAGTTTGGAATCAAATTGGTTTTATGGCCCTGCAAATTGGGACGTGCTGTGCCGTGAAGATGTAACTCTGCCCCTAAGACTCCATCAGTAGGGGGTTGTGTCACTCAGCCATGTTGTGTATTAACTCCTTTTGAAATTCCATTATGCTAACACTCGGAATGTAAAGCTCAAAGGTCGGGAAATTAAAAAGCAGGTTCTCATGTTAACATTCCCCCTGGCTGCACTGCACATCTCACATATTTCATGTTACATCCTGGTGTATCCGATGAAGTGAGCTGTAGCTCACGAAAGCTCATGCTCAAATAAATTGGTTAGTCTCTAAGGTGCCACAAGTACTCCTTTTCTTTTTGCGAATACAGACTAACACGGCTGTTACTCTGAATCCTGGTGTATGTTAATGTAAATACCAACCCACTTAAACAACAGCCTGGGGACTGAAAACATCTGCCATCCCCATTGGAGCCGGGTGCATGTGGCTAGGAGAACTCTAGCCTTTTCTTGACTTTTGAGTATTTAAATTGGTAAATCGATTTCTCTGGAAGTTTTTTTTTTAATCAAGAAAGAAGATCGCAGCTGTTCAGTTTGCAAACACCTCCAGTAAGAGCTCATTAGAGGCTGGTGGAGTTTCCAGCTCTGGCAGGGTACCCAGGAACACCCCCAGCTCATTCCAGCCCCACTTAGTCAGTTGTCAGAGCCTCTGCAGGGTCATAAAGAAGCTTTCTGTGCTGATCCCTGTGCCCGGAGACACTGGTGTACGTTGCGGGTTTTCCAGGCAGACGATAGCTATGATACTGACTTGGCAGCACAGATAGCAAATGGTGAACGCCCAAAGGAGTAAAGATTGCCGCTGGCTGTGGACTAACCTGCACTATGACTGTTTTAGTTCTGCAAAGAATGATCTGGCCTTTTCCTCAGCGACTGCGTGCGAGTGAGAATGCCGTGAGTGCTAAAGAGCAGCCATTCTTGAGCTGGGTGGGAGCTGCAGGAAAGCAGCTGCTATAATGGTGGTCTCCTCTACAGTGACATCCACCGATGGTGACTGATCCAGAGAATTGACTCAGCCACTGGAGCAGACAACCACCATCGACAGAACTCTCCAGACAGGGAGCGTCTTCTGACCCTGATCGCTGTGCAGTGCATCCTCAATGGCCCCTTTCAGGAAGCTGCCAAGGTTAAGGAAAGCTGGATGAGGAGCCCGTTGCCACTGAATCCCTAGGATCTTCAGTAAAAACCAGAACCTTCAGACTCTGGGTGTTGGCCCATCACATAGGCCTGCCCTGGGGAGCTCTGAAGCTGAGAGTGGCTCTTGGAGCTGAAAGATGGTCCAGCAGTCAGTGCTCTAGCCTGGACCAGCTTCAGCTTCGCCACAGGCCTGGTCTACGCTAGGAAGTGAGGTCATTGTAACTGCGGCGCTCAGGGATGTGACCAGTCCAGATCCTTGAGCGACACAGTTAACCCCACCTAGCCCTGGTGTACACAGTGCTAGGGCAACGGGAATTCTCCTTCTCGGGGAGGTGGGGTACCGGTGCCAACCACAGATCCCCTCCCAGTGGCATAGGCAACATCTTCAACTGCAGCATTTTAAGTGTAGACAAGCTTCCAGCCTTCCTGTGTGACATTGGCAAGTCATTTAGATTCCATTCCCCCTCTGTACAGTGGGGCTAGTAATGCTGCCCTGTCTCCGGGGGAGAGGAGAGGGGTGAGGATGAGCCCAGTAAAGATTGCGAGGTGCATAGATACTATGGTGCTGCTAGAAATACCTTAGCTAGAGTGAGAGGTTACTGTGAGAGCCCCAATGAAAGATTTGCCTCTCTTTCCGGAGGACGTGTAAACCGAACCTGGAGCTCCACGTAGAACCTCAGTCCAGCGCCATAAATTGATGAAGATCTAAACTAGGAGAGAACTGCCAGAGCCTGGTCAAATCAAAGCCACATCCAGGGCACGTGTGGAAAGTGTCAGCCTGGAGCAGCTCCCGCTGTAAACCTCTGTGGTTGTTTCCTGACACACCAGAGAAAAGCTTCTCCCTACTTTCCCGGCTGATGTCGGCTTTACAGAGGGAGCCCCTCCAGCTTCTTAGAGCTCACAAGCAAATGGCTGCCAGGTGGTGGTAGATGGCGCCTTTGGGCTTCTCTGCACAAACACTGACTGCACAGGGCCTCTACCCCACAGGAGCAGGCCATGCACAACGTGGACCCTGGTGCTGCACACTCCTGGTTCCCTGTCACGCTTGGTCTACCCCGCTTTGAAACAGGATGGGAATAATGCACACTAAGTGGTAGCACAGTTCACAGACACCCTGGCTTGTCATGAATTAAACGTTTTTTTTTAGACAAGTCCTTTTACATCCTGCCCTGTCTCCATAGCAGAGAGCGCCGGATGGGAAACCTATGGGACAAGACCTAAGGGGCTAGAGCCAAGAAAAGTGCACTCATTATAGCCGGCACTAGCAAAAATATGACGCCCTTTTAACAACACATACCGGCTGCTGCCCTAACTAACCCATCAAGCTTTGTGTGTGTGTGTGTACCGCTCCCCATTACTGGATGGAATCAGAACCGCTCTGCTGTGGCTCATATACCCTGTACTGCTGACAGCTGAAGAAGATTCTCCTTGGAGCCAGGGAGCTCTGAGTTCTATCCCCTCTGCTGTGTGCAGTTTGGGGTGACCATGGCAAGCAACACAGTGACCACCGTGCAGTTCTTGGGGCAGCAGATTTGTTACGGGGACCCTTGAAACATAAATGCTGATTAGAAAATACCCAGCAGTTTCCTGGGGAGATAGTCTGGAAGCAAGCGCTAAACCAAGGGGCAGCTCTGCCTTCCGGCTTTAGCTGTCCCGGCCTGCTGGCTCCAGTAAGCCCATGGGGAGGTGTGGGGCTTGAGCTGCCTGGTTCAGATTGTATCTGGTGAACAGATCCCTTGGTTGTGAGGACGTGGCCCAGTGAGCATGTCCAGGAGCTGGTAACGCTTTGAGTGCCTGGCTCTTGGAGCCTGTTAACAATGGGATGGTGCACGCTCCCAGGGCCTGGGTCTATGGCCCTGCAGCTCCCCAGTGGGCAGGGAGAGTTTATCTCACATGGGATGTAAAAACCCTGGGCAGGAGGAGCCCAGCCTGCTGGAGGCTGATCCCGTCTCTCTGCTCAGGGCTCCCATTCAGCACAGGACTTGCACGAGTGCATCACTTGAGTCGTCCCATTGACGCGTGGAGCTCAGGAGCATGTGCTGGGGCCTGTGCCGAAGGGAGGCCTGAGTGACAGGTGGATGGCTTGCGGGACAACACCCTGCCCTCCTGCCTTAGCTAGCCCTTTGTTGTCGCTGCAGCCCTTAGCATGTCTAGGAAGGCAGCTGGAAGGAGTCGGGCTCCCACCTTCCAGCACTGTGTGGGGTGGGGATGCAGGTGCATTGGCCACAGTGTATTGCTGTATTCCTCATTTACTAGCCTCTCTTGTCTTCTCACTCTTTAGGACAGTAAATGGCTTTGACCAAGGCCCCCCTCCAGGCATAGGATCGTCCAGACCCTCATCAGCGCCAGGCATGCTTCCTCTGAGTGTATGAACAGCCGGGAGGACTTTGAACTAACCCTTTTCTCAACCAGAAGCCCCCCAAGAAAAGAACTGCTTCTGAGTCCTTCCCATTACCACCCCCTGCTGGAACTCAGCCTGCCTTGCGGTGTGGAGCAGCGTTGGAGCCAGCCCGCTGCCTGGAGGAGTCCCAGCACACGCACAATCCTTCACTCAATGTCAATACAGTTTATTTTCTCCTATTGCTGTAGTGGACGTTCTCTAACATGGTCGCACTCTGTTGTGGGTCACACAAGCTGATACGTGTGTTCTGTCTCACGGGATGCAGGAGTCTCACTAGCCAACAACTGATCCTCAGCCCTTCACTCTGTACCTTTCCTAACTTAGGCTGAATCTGTGTTTCCAATCCCTCTTCTCCTAGCAGCCTGGCACTTAAGCACATGCTGCTACCACAGTTTCAGTATGGAGGGAACCATTTTTGAAGGATGCCAGGTACGGTTTAGATGTGTTAATCCTATTTGACAAATGCCCTGGGAAGGAGACTCCTGGCCTCAAACAACTTTTTAGATGCATGAACATTTCACTAACGTTCAAGGAGAATTAGAGTCTTGCTTTTGCTACTCTGAGAAGCCACTAATTGTGTTGGCAATGCTGCCAATGCAGTAGGCCCCCTAAAAATGTGTGAGCATTTAGCCAGTGTTCAGATCTGTGTCATATAGAACGACTAGACTTTACAGTGCCACCAGTGGGCTTCTGTGACAGTTTTGGGCCACTCTGTACCTTGTGGGTCTGCAAAGCGATGTGTTTGTGCAATTCGCTGTCTCTCTCTCTCTCTCTGTGCCTCAAAGTTGTTGGATTTCAAAAAGGACATGCAAACCTGCCAGTGGTTTGGTCCGTGGGTTTAAAAATCTCCCTCTCCAGTTTAGTCCATCCCATCTCATTTGGCTTTGGGTTTCATTTGTAGGAGCCAACTGATTTATTTACAAATGCCACGTAAAACCAGTTGCCCAAATGGAAGGGAAGGGGTGGAGTAGAATCACCACTTAATGTTAGGGGTTTGTACGTCCCTTTTTCCAGTGCATCCTTTGCTGCATTTGACTGTTTACATTTGTTTTATTGTATATAGGTTTGTAAACAATATCTTTGCCTAAGATATTTGTACATAACTTGGGCTTTGTAGCTTTATTTATTCAGAATCTATATGGCATGTTTAAATAGGACAGTATCATAAGACAGTTGCGACAAAGATCATGTGGTTTAAAGAAACAAAGTGAACTTCCAAAAAATAAAGCTCTTTTAACGTGGAACCAGTGGATTTTGCAGAAAAGAAGGTGGAGGCTGTTTTGTGGGTGATTTTGGGGTGGGCAGGTTCCTCACTGAGTTGCCTGCTGGGGGAAGAGAAGATGGACAAGCTGGGCTGCTATTTCCAGGTGGGATTTTGTTCATGCCAGAACAAACCGGACTCATGCGCTCTTAGAGACACTTGTCACCACAATTGTATGTGACGTGTCTTTTCAGCAGTGGGCCTGAGCTACTGCAGTGTCTGAGTGACCTGTTGGAGTCCTGCCCTGGGCCCTCCTCTTGGCTTTGCTGGGTTAGGAATGGACAGGGAACCCTGCCTGCAGTGACCACTCCCAGGACAGACTGGCTGGTAACAGAGTGGCCTGCTCTGTCCGGGGGAGGTGACTGAGCTCAGTGCTGGCATGCTGGGCTCTCACGATAGGAAGGTGCCCAGCACCTGTGATCTCTTGGACGAGGGGCACTTGTGTGTGTGGTAAGAGGTAGATCAGGCTTAGCTAAACCGTGCACTTGGGCCTTTAGCAGAGCTGAGCCTCTGCTCAGTTTCCCACGGCACTGACCTCATGGAACACCTAGCACATTGCTCCAGCTGCAGCAAGCTGAGCTCTCTCGTTGCTCCCACAGAGCAGTCCGCATCTAGCAGGGCTTCGCTCCGCAAGGCAGGATGCAGCAGCCCTTGCTCCAAGGGCCTAGCTCCTGCCACCATGCTGTGGAGCCAGGCCTGCTGCATCCCACCCTGCACAGCCAGGCCCTGGCTGTGGGGTTTGCCAAGGAGTTGCCTGGTCACTTGCTACAGCTGCCCTATCTCCACCTGACACAGAGCTCACTACCCCTCGCCCCTCCATCCCAGCCTTTGGTCCTTGCTGGGGAGGGGCTGTTCTGCCCCACACAGAGCCTTTAGCCTCAGCCTGCCTTGGGCTTCCCTGGCCCACACAGCTCAGGGAGAGAGGCTGTTCTCCCAGCACAAACACACCTTTGCGCTGTGCTGGAGAATCCTGCTAGGCGCACCAGCTTGGGGGCAGAGTGCAGGTATTGCAGGGGGGCAGGCAGCCACGTCAGCAGACTCAGCCTGGTTGAGCCCAGGCCCTGTGAGCACCTCCACAGTGGCAGGAGTGATGGCCAGGTACCTGCTGAGCTCCAAGCATCACCACAGTGCTGTGCCTAGGGGGGGTTGGCATCATGCCCACAGAGCCTCTGCCAAAGCCCCATGCAGCTGGCCTGCATGAGCACCCCTTCCCTCAAGGATAGGCCGGCTGCTTCCGGGAGCCCCAGGAAACCTGCCTTGGCGAAAACTGGACGCCCAGCAACCCTAGCAGGCTGGCTCCAGTGGGCCCTCTGCCATTAGAACAACGGTCTGGTCAGGGCAGGGGGGCTTTCCTACCAGCAGGTTCATTATGGCACCAAACTCTGACCTAGGCTGTTTCCTTCACACCAGGGCAGGGCCCCAAAGGATTGACACCGTGACCAGCAGCCACTTCTCCCATCCCTTGCAGTAACCCTAGGTGTTGTCCTCCAAGTACACCCGCTACCCCCCTCCCCCCGTTAGTCTCTCTAGAGCCTGGGATTTTGGAAAGAGCCAGTCTGAGATGCTACAAGTCCCCCCTGCTGCTCCTGGGACACATGCCGAGAAGAACACAATGAGGGACAGATTTGCTGTTCCATGCTGGGCTTCCCCATGTGCCCTGCAGCTCGGCTACTCGTCCCTTACACGGCAATTCTGCTGCCCTCTTCTGGCATGTTTTAGCTACTACAGCTCTCCAGGATCTGCAGCAACTTTCTACCATCTGAAGGACGCTAGAAGCCCCTCAGCACAGGAATTGCCAGACTGCCTCAGCTCCAGCTGCTTTAGAGAAAGGTACAAGGACCCTGCTACGGGTAGCTGTGGGATAAACCTGTCCCAAGAGAACATGTCCATTGAATGCCCAACAGTTTTAAAGCCTCTCTCTCTAATTAAGCAAGCCATGTCCCTGTGCATGCTGCCGTACACAAATCGAGTGAGCCCTGAAGATTAACTGTCAGCTGCAGCTAGTCTCTGGCAGGTGTGGATTTTAATACTCACCATTGAGCCCCACGGTAGCTCCGCTCCCCACATCCTGGCACACGGAATGATTGGTTTCCCAGGAGCCAGGCAGGATCAGGGGGTTCCCATGCTGACAGAAGTGGAGTGGAGTTGCAAGCAGCACCCCTCCTCTCTCATAGGGTAAATGTTTATAGGCTCAGCGCCACGTAACAACAGAGCAGGTGAGAGAGGGAGGGAATCTGCCTATGCTCTGGGTACTTGGCATGAGCTCCGCTGTAAGAGTTCAGTTCCAGGTCACCCCATCACATCCTGGAGCGGGCTCAGGACAGCTGTTGTTCTGCCCAGAGTGCACAGTGCAGGGTGAAGCTGAGGCAGCGGCACACTGGGCCAAGCTTGTGAGGTGCAGGGTGCCCCTGGCTCTGCTAGGAGTTATGCCTGGGAGATGCTGAGCCCCTTACTCCACAGCCTTGGGCCAATAAAGTGATAACTTTATTCCACACCAGTTTTATGCCATTCCCACCCCACTCATTGACATTTGGGTAGGGAAAGGACAGCACTGCTCTTTGATCAAAGTATTATCAGGGACTAGAAGAAAGGGTTGCTGAGAAAGCTTGTCCATGACAAAGAGTGGGGGTCGTGCAAGCAACCAAGATGCATTTTAATGTGACCAAATGTCAAGTTCTAGCCTGGGAAGCAGAGACTGACCCTGGCTGATGCTGTAGCTGAACAGGCTGATGCAACCCTTGGTTGTACAAACAGGGGAATCTCAAGGAGTAAGAAGGTTTATGATCTCTGGAGCTGGCACTGCTGTGACTACTCCTGGATACTGTGGCCACCTCTGCTGTCCAAAAGTGAAGACTTGATAAATTGGAGATGGCTCAGGGACCACCATGAGAACAACTGATGGATTGGGGAAAACATGCCTTATAGTGAGAGACTCAAGGAGCTCAATCTATTTGGTTAAGGGGTGATTTGGTCAGTCTAACAGACAAGATATAACAAAAGATCCAAGGGCTGGAAGTTGAAGCTAGACAAATTCAGACTAGACAGAAGCTGCACTGTTAAACAGGGAAGGTAATTTACCATTGGAATAGCTCACCAGGGCGAGTGGTGAATTCTCCATCACTGGTGATGTTTCAAACATCTTTTAGAAAAACAAACATTCAGTCACAGCTATTGGACTTGAAGAAGGAATTAATTGTGGGAAGTCCTATGGCTTGTGTTATGCAGGTCAGGCTAGATGATCACAATGGTCCTGTCCGGCATTAAGATGCATGAATCCCCTCCAGACAGAATGACCCCACTTGCTGTACCTGGGATGGGAAGTCACTCAAACTCCAGCTTGTGCGACAGGCAGCATGCCATGTTTGGAGTAAGGAAGACCTACAAAACCACCACACCAGAGCTCTATTGGAGCCATTATCTCCCCAGGCAACCCCAGATCCAATTCAGAGTCCATGGCTGGCTAGCAAGGTCTCTGAGCACAGGAATCAGCGCTTGGCTCAGTTTTTGGTCTATGTATCACCTTTAAATCCGTAGGCTCTTCAGTCTTTGGCATTTGCCGTGTGGAGCCAAATGTTCTCTACATTAAGAGCAATTTTGTTCTCCACCTTTTACTGTGCTAGTAACTTGTGCTTATGAATCACTGTGTATACTGGCCAGGGCTTCAACTGCTAATGAAAACGTTATACAGGCCACCTCCCAACCTGGTTCCCTGCAGGAACAGGAAAGGTTTTGAATTAAAGCCATCCACCTGCACTGTGGTTAGGGAACAGTGCCTGATACATAACAGACACCTCTTTAAAGCCCATGTGCTGAAGCATTACAGGCCAGTCATTTCAAAGGCTAATTTGCATCTAGTGACAAGACACGGGCCAGCTATAGAAATTTGTGGGGGGAAGACCCTGAGCTGTGTCTTCCCTGTATGAACTGGTATGTTGATGGCCATTATCTTTGAGGACTTCAGTTTATCTACAAAAGGGTTTGTATAGGAACATTTATTTCCAAATGACACCAGCTGAAGTCAATAGAAGAATCCAAGGTCTATTTTGGGTAGACTAAGCAGACCATCCATAGTCCAATCCAGTAGGGTAAAGGCAAACTCTTCCTTCAGAAGCACTCCTCCAAAGCTTAGCTCACCTCCTCCCCTATAAAGTACAGCATGCAGCCAGCAGTTCAGGACTCCAGGGGGAATTGCCAATGGATGTTAACAGAGTTCTTATGCTGTAAATCTGAACTTCCCCATTCAGAAAGACCTCAGCTTTGGTTAAAGGCCAGAATGGAGACAAATCACCACAGGAAGTGTGCATGGATGGTCATTTATAAAACAGATCCACGTGGCTGCAGAGTACCATGCATCTCCCCACTTGTGTATTTCTAGTAAGTTCCATGATTGGGCATGCAATGAAAAAACCTGCTAAAACTGGACTGGTAACCATGTCAAAAGCACTGGACAGGCCCTTTATACTCTATACAAATCAAAATAGGCTAGCTAACAGTAAGAAGGGAAACAGCAGCTGCCAAAGTCATATTCTTGTTTATTAAGTCTATGTAGGCCTCAGGAGCTAGGTTTTCTTGTAAGTAAATAGAGCAGGCATCAGTATCTATAATGAATAAATTTATTGTCTTACAAAAATCATTGTCTAGAAATATGGGTATACAAGAAAACAAGATATTTGCAGTCAGATGCCTGGTGGTCAACAGCCAGTTCAATTAAAAAATATCCATACGCACAACAAAACCTTTGTAACAGATGTTAAAGCTTTTAACCCAAAGGAAAATCATGTTTTCAAGCACATTGCAGAGGGATGAGATTTCATAGTTAACACTGATTCATTATCACTGAATATCAATACCACCACTTTGACTAGAGAGGTACATGATATGAAGCACAGTCAAAAATTAATACAGTAAATCATTGTTATATAGGCAAATTATATATGTAACATTGTCTTAGTACTGTAGTGTCTAAGGCACTTTCTGTAATGT